CAATGCATGCCAACTTTATGTCAGCAGCAAAAAATATATACCTTATTCATATGTCCGATAGATGTGCATGTCCAGCAAAATCGTATGGGATGTGCCGCTATCAGGATCGTTTCTCCTTATGTTTGTTTCATTACATATGCGTTTGAATTTCACACTTTATTGAAATTCAAACTTTATCGTTTCGCTACTTATAAAAACTAGACTTTATATATGGTGGCAGTACCGATATAGGTTTATTATTCTGATATACATGTATGTAAGAGTATTATCTGTACACAAGGGATACGATAAGTTTAATAAAGAACACTGTATATTAATGTAGCGTTAGTTTTCATGACAGTCGGTTGTTGATTACAGTGTTTTCGTATGGTGGGCATTCGTCCGGCCACGCCTGGTCAGTGTGATAACGTAATGTGTGGTCATCACTGGACATTTGTCTACACGGGGTTTTACCAATTCATGGCCACAGTAAACTGATCACCTTGCGATAAGACCAGACCGGGATCATCTAAGGTCAAGCAAAATAGGTTTTGTCTGCCTCGTGACTCAAAGCTTGTTTAAAACGGTCTACGTTTTATAATTATAATCAGTACAGTTGTCACTATTGGTCTTTTTCGTAATAGATTAGATATGATTTCATAGATAACAAACGAAAAAGAAATACTACAAGAAAAGTATTAAATTCCCTCGACAGGTATTAAAACAGGTATTTAATATATTTTGATGCATAAAGTGTTAATATTATAGCCAAGGACATGTTCACAGAGTTTTATATCATTGGTTATCTATGTTTCTCACTGGATTTGACGGGGAAATTACGACGGGTACCATATGTGAGGACGGGAAACATAAATAAATAAATATACAACATTTGATATGGCACCATATATAGCTAACATAAGCCACTCTAAAGCGCTTTACAGTACATAGATATACAATTTTATACAGTCAATGCAATACGCATATATATATTATTCAATACAATATTGAGGAATTCGCAGGAGCTGCATTATCAGGCGCTAACTGCTAGTCCTATGCCACCTGGCTAATATCTCCCTATGTGTGTATGCCTGTGTGTGTGCTGGAGATGTATTGTGTTCTGTTTGTAGTGGGAATGTGCTTCCAACGGTATCACTTGAATGCTACAGCACAGATACCGCAAAACCAGACCATTTTATACTCCACCTGGGTTGTTGGAGTTGTGTAGTCAGGAGAAAAACACTTTCTCTAATATTCCATGCGTACGGCGACTTCGGGGATCGAACCCCGGCCGCCTGCTAGGAAGGCGGGAGTGTTAACCACTCGACCAATCCGCCCATAATGGCGTGTACCACATGTGGTGACAGGAAACATAATTGCAGGTACCACATGTGGTGACAGGAAACATAATTGCATGTACCACATGTGGTGACAGGAAACATAATGACGGATACCACATGTGGTGAAAGGAAACATAATGGCGGGAACCACATGTGGTGACAGGAAACATAATGACGGATACCACACATGGTGACTGGAAACATCATGACGGGTATCACATGTGGTGACTGGAAACATCATGACTGGTACGACACGTGGTGACAGGAAACATAAGTGTGGGTACCACATGTGGTACAAGGAACGATTACCCTCCCGGAACACCTTATCTTATTTCTGTTTTTGGTAAGATGCATGATGTTAATATTGTTTTTCCTCTGTTGCTTTCGTCCTTTTGTAATGATGTTAGATCAAGATTATACTCAGGTGTATCGACGAAGTACTACATATTTTTTATTGTACTTTATTCTTTCCAATTCAAAACGCCTCATTTTCATTCAGCTAAGTCGCATTTGCAATGCACACACCCTAATCTTTTCGCCGATGAATCGAATATAAGTGATATATCCAATATTTAAACAAGGAAAATAGAGGTTTGTATTTCACACTTTGACCAGTCACATTAACATGCTGGTCAATTTGCATGAAAAAAATAATTTAGACAGAAAAAGTAGCTGTTTTTTTCACAAAATGACGTCATTTTTTCGTCCTTAACGTTATTAAGGCCACTGTCAATGTACAGTTCGAGTGTTTAAAGAAGCCCATTGAACGTAAATACAAGGAAACAATTGACAAACTGTATATATATACCTAAAGACTAGTTGTTGAGAATATGTTTTTTAATACTAAAGACTCTTTGTTGAGAATTTTTCTTTTTATACAATACTAAAGACTCGTTGTTGAGAATTTTTCTTTTTATAATATACATTGTATATATATGTATATATATATATAGAAAAAATAAAATTAACGACCGACTAAAAAACTAGCTGCTTTCACCCTTCACAGGGCTCTTCAGGTTTATTCAAATAAAACTTTGAATAAACCTGAAGAGCCCTGTGAAGGGTGAAAGCAGCTAGTTTTTTAGTCGGTCGTTAATTTTATTTTTTCTATATTAACTTCCTTCACATGGACATTTAATCACTTTTTATTATTATATATATATATATACATATATGGGTTATCCGGGTAGATAGAAATGTTATGCATTATAAGCAATGTAATAAATAAATGTTCTGATATGATGTCACAGATATCGTTCATAATAAACTCATTTAATCTGCAATGTGAGGGATTGCATACATGCTGCTGATATAACGATCTCCATAAAACAAGATGGTACGGTTTAACAACACACCACGAATGATCGGTGGCCGTCAATTATATATTACACATCTAGTCAACGTTATTTTACCTAATAATGTTGCTCAGTAATATGAATTTTGAAATTACATCTCCCGCTAGTTGATATTTAATATGCTAAACCATTCTCTGCTTTATTTACTCAGCAAAGACCTAGCTTGTTTAAGTTTGAGTAATGTTCGCTATTGCCCTGACTACGCCTGGGAGTTATATCTCGTTCAGCTAAGTACCTCGGCAGTTTTCGAAACTACACTTGTGAATGAAGTCAACTTTAACCCCTCCAATCTTTATCAATCTTTATCAGGACCTCACTGCATACAATATTTAGAGAATTGATTTTGCTTTCGATAAGTTAATTTTGCGGCTCGAATATTTTTAAATATCTGTGAGGTTCGTATCGATATATAACAGTATTGGATTTTTAGATATAGCATGTTTAGGGGTTAACTCGACCAATACTAACTAAAGTTAAACACAAACATTTAAAATAGCATTCGTAAATCGTAATCCCGAATAATGCAGCATATATTGGAGAGATAATAAGGTAATCCACTGGATTTGTTAAATGTGGTAGTAAGTTATAGGTTTTTTTCAACTAGGGAACATAGCGAAAGTCACTCCTCGGCGAAATGTAGGGGCAAAAAATACGTTTCTGCGTTTAAGATAACCAGTCCCTGAATTGTCTGAATCTCCAACACAGAAAAGTTCATTTTTTTCGGCATTTTTCTACTTGCATGTTTGCTTGCCACTTTAAAACTACTATGGGTTATATACGACGAAAATATGTTTATGTGTTTATTTCACGAAATCACCTCCTCAACAGAGATTCGATAAATGAAAGGTAATTATGTTCAATATGAAGGTGCCGCTGAACAAATGCCATATACCCATCGAAAGTGAAACAGGTATCAATATTTGAATAATGTGTGCATAGAAATGACATAATGTTATTTCATATATAAAATTAAATATCATTGCATAGTAGCGTCCACACCGCGTCCACACCTTGAGTGTGGACAAATCACGTGACAAGGCTTGTGATCAAATTTTTGCGTCGTCCAGGTGTGTCGAGAAAGGATGACACAGGAGGACAAAGTCCAATGTTTTAGCCATGCGTATATATCGCTTATCAGTAGCGTGGGGCTGTATAAGGGGGATTCTATGGTAAGGGAAGGATATTCTGTCAATACATATAGCGACACACACTATTATCATATTGTAATGTAACGTATAAAAGTAACAGAGTATAATGTGAACTATTTGGGATCAAACCAGCGAATTCCAACTTCCCAGTCCATTGTAATACCGATGGAGTCAAAATGATATTCCCCTAATACGAAGCTACACGGGGAAGGTGACCTTCATCATATGTGCTATTACATACATATATACGTATATCCCTTCATCATATAAGTATATCTATAAACGTATTGATCATCAGGTAGTAACGTGTCAAACACGTGCGTGTTTATCACAATATCTAAGGTACAAAATGTAAGGAATATTGCAATACACATGTCATTTCGATAAAACTATATGTCTGCTATATCCCACTGTCTATCGCAATATCTCGGTCATTTCCGTCAAGGCTTGGAATCAATTCCACGAGCCGTTACGGAATTTGCCGACTTATTAAATGAGGAGCTTTCTTTCGTGTCCTCTGATTTGGAAATATAGGATATTATAAAAGGCCAAATGCCCCCCTTTCCCATGGTATCACTTGGAGCATCTATCTTAATTGTTTTGGGGGTGCCTCCTAAGCACACGTTTATTATGACCATAGCTGTTGTGAGACGTTATCCTAGAATGAAACAATTAAAGATGACAAATTTTACGTTATTCAAACTTACTGATATTACGCTGAAAGTATAACAGGAAATATGATACATATAGGGAAGCATCGTAAAATGAGATAAGTTATCTTGATTGTACGATACTTAGATTTGAGTACATGAACATTACAAACCAGTAAACGAACATTAAACAAATTACACAAATTACCGTAATTACTAACATGTTATCAGCCATATGATATCACAAGAAAGAGCCATCTTCTGATCACGTTATCCGCTATCGATATGCTTCGATACACATGTGATCTTATTTTATGTTTTCAGACACTTTTTTGATATTTGAAAAAAAAAAGGATACACTGTAATACCGCGATTTTTTAAAAGCTCATAAAATATTTCAATCTGATAAATGATATGCATGTATCTACTTAAGTATATCACGTGGCACTTGTATCTGAAATACCTTCGGGTCCCTCTGGAGCCCCAGTGTTTACCAATACGCGGGGAGTTTGATATTTAACAGCTGATCGGTGCGAGACAATTTATAAAGACAAGCAACAGGTAGAAGGTCCGTTATATGTGATCCCTGATACGGAATACTTCGGATAAAAGTGTGATTATGTTTTTTATTTCTCAACTTATAGTCATCGAGGAAGTTTCTTCACTTATTGTCAATTCGCATTCATTTTGTTTGGCTAGTCGATAAAGGTAGCGTCTAACTGCAAACTCCAACTGTGTCAGTTATACATTGGCCGACTTATGGAGCCCGTTTTATGACATTAAGACAAATGTGGATTAAAGTCAAGTACCTGTAAGTATTCAAACATTTAAATTGATCAAACTTAGCAATAAATGTGAAAGTATAGTTGTAGATCAAATCTAAAACGTTTCGATTGACAACACAATGGGAATCCGTTCATACCGTTTCGGTGCCATGGTGATTATGGCCAGCGTTTTGATAGCATTGCCGCGGAAAGTTCATTCAGGCATAACTAGCCAGAATCTGTCTGACACAGAAAAAGCTAACATGACAGTTAATTACTTCAGAACTCGTGACCAATTATCCATCGGCGTGTACGAGTCGGCAATTGCTGCTGAAAACTTAGTTCAACATATTTCAATGGGAAACACATCAACAACTCCAGTTCTCATGGACGCCGCGGTTAGCTACTTGTTGAAGACCATGCCAGATTTGCTCCGAAACTCAATTTTTCAGGATATCGTTAAAGTCATAGTGGAGGAGGCTGGAAAAGCTTCTCAACAGTCTAACGTAACCATCGACACATCTAAACCAATTAAAGAGGCGGATATCCAGGTGATTGTATCAAAGTTTAACTTCGTTGCAGCGTTAACACGAAGTATTACACAAGCCAAACCTCTTATTGATCATTATCGACAGGTAAATGATTCTTCTCTCTTCATCATGGTATTGAACAAGGCAATCGAAGTAGCTGTTTATGGAAATCATAATACAACATTCCAGGCTGTCATGGACATTTTCATGGACGAACTAAGCCAAGGACTCAAAAAGTCGGGACTTCTGGAACGAATCTCCAAAGAAGGTCCTGGATTCCTGAACGATATCAATAACGCAGCATCCATTGTTAGGTCTGTGGTCATGAGTTCGAATCTTCAGAGACTCATATCTAGGTCATACAACGTTAGCAAACCCGTCCTCGATAGTTTGTACGGCGGGAATACAGAGCCCATTTACGATTCACTTACAACGGCCATGGACAGTGCTAACAGACTTAAGCAAAATCCAATGTTCCAAATCCTCTACAAATTTCTCAAAACATCCAACGTAACTGGCCAATCGAATGGAAACGCTAATACGGTGAATATGGTCATGAATTTTCTGAAGAATGTGAACGTTCGTTCTACGATTAAGCTCGTGCTTGGGTCTGTGAGCTCACGTATTGTGATACCCTACAACAGTTCGGCTGAGGAAGACAAGATCAGTGGCGATTGTTACGAGGATATGATCGACTTTTTTGATGCGGCGAAACAGGGAGAGACCTGGGCATTGAAAAGTGAGTACATTTTTAAGTCTTCATAGATTTATTGTAAATTTAACGTTTGGAAAGACAAAATGAGAAAGCCGGACAGAACGATAGAAAGAAATAAAGACAGAGACAGAGAGAGTGTNAGGGGGGGGGATGTTTTAAAATGTTAAGTTGATATCTCACGATTGCAATTATTGATTGTGAATCTCACAGCATTTATGATATTTTTTCAAGTATATCTGAGTCAAAATCGTTAGAATATCGAAAATAAGACATCTGAAAAACGGTTAAACTGTTAGCAAGATATGAAAATCAGCTCCCACGGTTGGTTACAATTTTTACCATATTTTTCATGTAAATAGACCAGCCATTGAGCACTGAAAGGTGTTTTTAAAGCTAGTGATCATCAAAACTGACGCATCCCTAGTACATTTATTTGTGAAACTGTTTTCGATTTTGTCGCGTAAACATTGTTTGTAGGGTATTTAATTAACCTGGATGGTTAGGTGGCGCAGTGGTAACACACTCGCATTTCACCAAGACGGCCGGGGTCAACTCCCCGATTGGGTATAAAAGGTATGAATTACCTGTCTGACCACGTGATTTTCTTCAGGCATTTCGCCCACATTGAGACCCCTGCGCTTCAACATCTACCAATTAGATTTACTTATATAAGTCAAAACAACTCTCCATCGTGATCAGTCTATAAAATGTGAAGGGAAGGAAGGTGGTTGCAGTAGAATATGAGGACAAAATGATGACGAGAGCATTATGTTGTGACAGTGATGTTCTGTGTTACTTCGTCTTCCATTAAAAGGGCGACTTCGACGTTCCCTGATATCGTGATGACGATGTCCCGTTATTGTAGCTACGGGGTTGGGTTTGTTTCAAATATTACGATGGGATGCGAAATGCATTTTGTATACACTCTTTACTTTTTCATTATTTTTTTACTGAATATGTTTTATTATTAGGGAAAATCAACGCGTTGGAAAATTAATGACAGTTTTTGTATTTACATCAACTTCTTTTTCAAAGAGCAGTTGATTAGTGCGGATTTGCATAACTATATAATCATTACCATATTTGACGCTTACTAAACTGTTATGCATTATAGCTGTTTTATCATCGCCCTAATAAAATGATTGTGCATTCAAAGGGATAAGTTGGGTTAAATTAAGGTAATAGAGATATTCACAGTGTTACACAACTCATAAAGGACAACTAAGTAGATCATGCCCATTATTTTGACATTAATACCTCTGTAACACTGACATAGTTTGTTCGGCACTATACATACCGTAAAAAGGATTATTGCAAGTCGTAAATAAGTATCGCTGTGACATTTAAACAAACCGAAAACACACAAAGATCCCAGACATCCAATATCTGTGATTTACCTGTGCATGGAAGCACGTACAACTCGGAATTTGGACCCACTGTACCATTATCTATCTCCCATTTAAATCCCGGATTACCTTAGCACCACACAATGCTTTAAATAATTCGATAATATTATGTAACCGCCCTTAATACTGACTCAGCTAGCACTACCCTCAATGACACCGCCTGTTTTACAGGGCGAAGTCCATAGAAATTCCTAAAATAACATGCTTATCTGAAACACGTGAATTGAATTTTCTTTTGAAATTGATGAGATGATAATAAAACTTGAATCTTGTAAATGATATTCATGCGTCATTCTAAAGGTGGGTTGAGCAGTGTGCACGCGACTGTCACGTGCAATTTTGATCAAACCTTTTTTTTTAAGTCCTAGTTACTTAACCAGTTATATCGGTGAACGATATTTTTCGGCCATTTTTGCACAAATAAAAAACAACTGTTGTATTCTTTAGAAAAACAACAACATCTATTACGAGCAGGTGTTTGCTTATCACTTACCTGTTATATTCCCATAAAATTATCTTTCATACGCATACGCATTTTAATACAACAGGTTTTTAAAAATACCTTATGGGATGGCGAGGAACTTGGAATTCTGTTACATACGTTCATTGAAAATAATGTTTTGCGCGTGATAATTTGATAAAGATTAGTTTGCTGAAATTAATGTTCTGTTCTAAATGAAAATAAAAAGAACATAAAAAACAAATGTACATAACATTAATGTTTTTTATCCTAGAAAATCCGAAACATAACAACTTTACAAATCTGAAACTTATAAAACTTAAAATAGTGAGGTATTCATAAAATTAAAAACATTAAATAAGCAAACAATGGTGCAAAACAAATAGTTGGTCAAATTATGGTAGCATAAGTTCAGGATTATCGACAAAAGAATTCGAGAGACCCAAGGGATAGTTCATGTTTATGTTGTATTGATATACTTGTTACATGCTGACAACACCGTTAGATAAACGCTCAAGTGTGGGAACAGTAAAAAGTACCGTCAGCTTGACGTTGACCAAAATAGAACTTCCTTTCTTTTCTGACAGCCATTTTTGAATAAATTGGTATATATATGACTAATGTCAAGAAGAATACAATTATATTTGAAGTTCATTTGTAACGACAATACTCTTTAAACATTTTTGAATGACGATGTATGGTAACCAGACTAAAAGAAATACAATAATAATGTCGCAAATGTTGCACTGCCCAGTCAGGTTATCAACAATTTCACATGGATTTTTGCCTTTGATGATCGTCAAACATCATTATCTTTAATACGAATTGAAATTGTAAAAAGCTATAAATACGGTGCAATTAATAAAAATAATCATAACAACTTTTTTTTAAATCGCGAGCTTCACAATAGTCGAATCAGTAATATGTTCAAAGCATTTTTAAAGCTACCTAACACAAAACAGTCACTGATAAAATTCGGTTAAATAATGCGATTGTATTTTGACAAAAACGCTATATCCCTTTTACCGTTACAATTCATTTATGCAAACGGCTATCAGCTACATTTGTCCATTATAAACGCTTTTAACAGCTCCACTCCAATGCAACACTTCATAAGCTCTTACAGATGATTTCCTGGAATTGTCATTCTGGTGTCCATATTGCCCCTTAACAATTTTTTATATTTTATATTTATGTAAGGTCTTCAATATGTTAGGACAGATAACATTTGAATTGGATACTCTGCCTTTTTTTATTTCAAAAATTAGGTTTGCCAAAAGTAACAGTTTTCTTTCATTTTTTTTCTCCATTTTTGACTTTTTACGCTTACATGCTGTTTAATAATTCTTTCACAATTTAAGACATAGATAAATCTAATATTACAGCCGCAAACAATAGCTATGTAGTTGCCGTCTAGTTAGCTTGGGGACTTATTTGTTTCACCACTACTTAATTCTTTGTTTTAAGAAGTAAAAATCTAACAACATCCCAGTAGCTCCTCTCAAACCTACGTCCGCAGAAGCTCACCAAAACGTGTCAAAGATTAACAGCTAAAGTGTAGTATTCCTCAACGAAACCTTCCATAGGTTCGCCTGGATTTTTATAATCAAATACCCTAGAATGCAACACATATCAGGTATATTTATATCTCAACTCTCTTGAATACAGCAGAGAACAGGTATATTTTTAGTTCAATTCCCTTGAATACAGCTAAAAACTAGTATATAGTATATTGATAAGCTCTACATGCATGTAACAAACTTAAGATATCCAAGCTTTGTGTTTTGAAAGGCGGGTCGAATTATCCAATCTACGTATATTAAATATCCTAGCACAATTGCAATGTAACGACACTTTTCATTGGTTAATAACCATGAATTATTGGACTGGTTTTATTTATCGAAGGAGGGTACCTGCATTTAATTTAGTGTGTATTTGCTAACGGAAAAGTAAAATATATATTTTACCTCTAGATCTACTTACAACCTATCAAATTCATGGTCAGAATGTTCCGCTGATCTTACCTCGAAGGTGACTTGGAATAGTGTTGAAAATCAGTCAAATGCTGATTTAATGTGTTTAGCGGTGTTGATAGCAAACGTACAGAAATGTTATTACAACGAACTTGTAACTAGAGTCCATACATCACTAATAATAAAAGTGATTTCATTTGTTTACGTTCTCTATTTACAGGGCTTGATTCATATGGGAAAATACCCTCTGGTCTTGCAAAAGGTAATATCAATTTCCTCGGCTCCTTTGACGAATGTCTAGAGATCAGATCGGACATCAAAGCCAGTGAAATTCTTGGAGGCATTCGCAGAAACTCTCCAAGGTATCCAAGATCCGTTGGATCCAAATATTGCCGTGTGCGTATACCGATTCCGAAAAGTATTTTCGACGGATTAGGCGTGGTAAGTAGGCACTAGCATTGCTGTTTGAGTAGGCACAGTGTAATTGTTTTAAACCAATTACTTGTGTAAACACTATCTATAAGGCTAACTAACTGTGACATGCTCACATACGAAGACACGCTAACGTATTCTAACAAGGTAACGTAAGTTGTTAATTTCCCATGACAAACTGCTCCTTTCCAAAATAATTTCTTATGTCTGGTTGTTGATTAATTTGAAGAAAAAAATCAAGATAAAAGTATATTAAGAATGAAACTGTTTTCGTTCATAGAAAAGGTTATACAAAAGTATTGTACCTCTCCTCTAGTAAACAAGAGAGATTATGAGTAGAGCAAGAGAGTGATTGTCCCCTAACATATTATGGCCGACGACGAAGTTTTCTCAAAACCCTGGCATCTTCGTGCAGCATACCGGATGGTTCTATTTATCATATCAATGGGCTTCTGCGTAGCATTTGCCCAAAGTTCACATCCGTATATAACACATGGTATGATAATTGTTTAAATGAGTTGCGCATTTTTGAGAGGATTCAATCCGCCTGGATGGATACCAACACTCATTAGACTGTTAAGGTACCTTCTATCTTTGTCGCACGCGCTTTCTATGCCGACATCACATCGAACTGTTAACCTCTGTATATACCTTTTTCGAATATCTTTTGCAGAACTGGTGTTAACGTGATGTATCTATAATTGTTTTAATTCAATTTGTCTTTATTGCCACCTTTGAACAATGTTATTACTTTACCTTTTGTTAAATGTACTTGGCATTCCTCCTTTGTCAGTATGATTGAAGAGTATGACGATCGCGACCAGCAGACTTTTACCAACGTAACGAATATGTTCGATGACTAAATCATCATGTCATCCCGCTTTACCATTTTTCGTAATTTTGATCGCTGTCGCAGTTTCACTTATTGAAATAGCTCGATCGCAAAAAACATCAATATTTGCAAAACTTCTGACGAACATATCGTGAATATCTAACTGTATCTTAGCCCGATAACTATCATCAAAATTGGTTTGCTCAGACAGTAGAGCTACATGTAACTTACTATAGTGCTCAAACCAAACATTCCTTAGTTCATCTGAATCGTCGATGATTTTATTGTCAACTTTAAGTTCTGAACATCTGAAACCATTACACTTTCTTGCCCGAATAGCCCTATAGTATGTGCCGATATCAACTTCAGCTGCTTCCTGCAGGTGGTTGAGTTGCTGCTGTTCGTATAGCTCCCTTGGTTCTTTTAATGCTTTACGAAAGATGGTGTTTGAATCCTTATAATCTTTGTATGATTTATGTTCTGTACCGCGCGGAAGTCCCTCTGCTTTTCACACCCTACGATACTGTCTCATTGACGTATGCAGTTCTTTAACACTTCCGAAGTTCCAATATGATTTTAAGTATTTACGATACTGCTTAACTGGCAATGTAACATTTGCTGAATCCTTTATCGCGGAAACAATTATCTGTACTAAGCTATCTAGATAATCTAAATCCTTCGCCTCGCGGAGTTTATTAGTATTACCGATCATCTGCGCTACTTTGCCGGAATAAGCAATCTTTTGCTCGGAAGACACTTTTCTCCAATTAACGGCATTTGACGACAATATATCTCTATGCGTGTTCTTTAAAGAACAACAGAATTCTAACGACACAGGTAGATGAGCAAATGCATTAAGAAAAGAGCCGTCCAATGATACATAAGTCACATAACCTCCTTTCGACCACTGTTGTGAATTAACAGAGATGAGATAGTTTTTTTATAAGAAGAGTCTCAAGGAGTTTACCTCTGTCGTTTTACTGGTAGCGATTCTTTTTACCAAACCGTTCCGATATACGTCAATAATAATAACGGTACCTTGCTCGCTATACCGTTGATATAAATCAGACAGTGCTTTTAACGTTTCTCGGTACAGAGTCATAGATAGATAAGTCGAAGGCATCAATACCCCGAAGACATACATAAACGACTTGTCGACCAGTTGTACTGAGACCCCTATAATACGACCATTCCCTTCGTTGATCAGGGGCGATATCTTCAGGTATTTCTTCCATAGAATCGCAATTCCACCAAACCCTCTCGGATGCGTCCTCAGTTCCAACTCTATAGAAATGCGTGAATCACTCCGTCCAAACGAGTCAAAACTACGATCAATACTGTTCAAAAAAGTAAGCTGTTCTGGCTGTAACCAATGTTCTGTAATAACAGCAATGTCCGTATCGCGAAGAATCTCGCCTAGTAAAGGGGTGCCGTACATTACCCCTCGAGTGTTCTACGTAAGAAGCTTCACGACAAACATTTGTAAGAAAGAGAACATCAACACAGAGTTAACCACCACGAATATGGACTGTTCCCGTTCACCCCCGCGATTTTTGTACCGATTATCGCCACGATCCCCCCACTCGCGTACAAGAACGCCGTCCGGCCAGAAGTACGGATCGGTTGCTGTTGCGAAATCATCTTAGCAAACATTATGCGTGCCGTGTAAGTAGGATAGTATGTGTTCCATAACTTAATTATATGCATCATAGTGACGTTCACTCCTCTTCCCGCTGCGTATGACCTTACAGAACTCACAACTTCATCGTCAGTGGCATCTGCAGAAATACGGGACATAAGGAGCCTTTTGCTTCTAGGTCTACGACGAACACCACGTAATTCGTATGTAGATTTTCCTGCCTCCTCACTAGGTTGTTGATGTTGCGTATTCTGCCAATGAACAGTAGCAATTGATTTCGTGCGTTTATCTCGCTTCTCTCTAGGATCAACATGTTCATTACGGCCCTTGTTTTGTGAATTCTGCACCGATTCGTCGATCGCAGTTTCTTTATTTCGGTTAGTTATTTGCTCTATTATTGACGCTGTCACTCTGTCATTAAGAACAATGTCATGCGTGGTTAAGTTGGATGTGATCGACACCCGCGAAGCCCGCGTATTTCATCGCATAATTCTCGTATCAGGTGCCGATTTGCGGTGCCCATTAAGTTTAACTGTTCCATAATTTCTCCTCTCATTCCGACGATCAGTTTTGCTAGATCAGCAAAGTTATGTATTCAGTTGTCTGTTGTAACTCTCTCCCTTCGCGAATTTCTGTATATTGTCACTAACTATTTGCACGTCTGGCAAAGGTGATTCTACGTTCTCGTCGGAGACCCTCGCATTAAGAACAGACTCATTAGCTTCGCATATCGATCGGTGTCTGTCATTTTACGTCAAGATATTGCGGACCTCTCCTACCTCAATACTTCCGTCCACGTAGTGGAACAACGTATAAATATCTTCGAGGTACTTCTCTACAGCCGTAGAATTACCAGCGTTTGTTCTTTCCACGCGGGTCCCTAACGGAGTCTCAGATTTCCTCACCAAGGCGATGTCATAGAGCGATTGTCTAACATAAGACAGACTGTCCGGATTGTTTATATATATATATATACCGCACCTTTTTCCTAAACTTCGTTTTATCGCATCCACCTGCTATTTCTGTCAACAGAGCGTACACATATTTATCTATTTGAGTTGACGTCATACTTGATCTTCACTCTGCTGAGTTTTGCAAGTTTTCTTTATTTTTCACCATATTAAACACGCATTACACTGTAATTGTCAATGGTCCCTGTCGATATATATACACCGATATAACGATCGGTTACCTATACACCGATAGCGAGAATACAGCTCACGTGTGTTAGTTTGTCCAGTGTTAACGCTTCATTGGTCACTATTATTCTATTATTGCTCTTTCCCGAGGGAACTGTTCTCTTATAGTGTATACCTCCCCAGACAACACTGTCAGAGAACTGTTCCCGAGGGAAAGGGTCATAATAGATTTAGTACATCACATGACTGTCATTTGGCAATAAAAAGACAAACATGAGGAACCTCATTGATAACATATTTGATAATAAACAGCTGGAAATTTAAACGTAAAATTTGAAATTTTGATTCATGAGTTGCTGCTAATTGTAACGGTACAATTGCTAAAATTGAAAGAAGGTGCACAAACAATGGACTTTTCTGTTTGCTTTACAGAATTTACAGCCGATGCTGCTGTGTCATTTTCTATATATTTTTCATCAGAGCCTCCACCTATTGCGCGAATTTGCATGTCCATATTTCGTTCAGTGCTGATATTTGGCGGCGGACGTTTCATATTAAATGTAGTTATTAATATAACATCAATCATAACAATCATAAATGATAGATACATAGTGTTATTTGTATGTGATAGAGAACTTATTTGAATGAAAATGTCCGGGGATATATCACTTACCGGGATGAATGAGAGCTTTGTGTTGCACAACACCCTTTCCTTCTAATCCCTTTGTCAATATGTTGTCAATAAAATATGTTTAAACTAAAACACTTTCCTTCTGCTCGGACGTGTTTCAGCATACTTTTGAACACGTTATTAGCCTTTACAAACCTTGCATCGATTATAGTGTCGAAATCTTTGCCACATGATGATGGTTCTTGCAAATGCCGCCACAAACCTTGCCTGATGGCAACAAGAGAATTTTTTGAATAGATTTTTCCTTTTTTGTAGCGTATAATGGCAGAGAAATCCTCCAAAATACCGTTCAATTCACTGGATTGAATCACCGCTAGATCACAAACGGTTCCACTTTTAAGTAGGAAGTCTTTAAGGACTGCGACGGACAAATTGTGTCGCCTGCTTCATTAGGCAGACGACAACAATACACTGAAAGTAGAATATGTACAGCGCCCCCTAGGAGAAGGGGCGCAACTCTTAGCGTCCCGCTACTTTTTCCGCAGTCTCAGCGGTCCAACACAAAGGTATAGTGCCCGTCTCTAGATATAGTTCCCGTCGTCAAGGGCGGATGCTGACTATACCAATTAGAACAGGGTAGTTATCCAATAGCTATCCTAGAAAATATCATGTGATGTACTAAATGTATATGATACACAATCAAAGGACAGCTTTTCACTCAAAATTCTCTACTTGTATACACACAAGTATCAATATAAGTACATCATATGTGTGTCAATCAAGTTAGGATGTCCCATGCCAATTCGGTACGATGTAGGACATCACAAAATAGAGTAAACACAGATTACCTGCGGACAGCGATAAAGCCGTTTCAGATCACCTTGACCGCCATCTCATCTGCCTGAGTGCTTTGTATGGCACACGTGTGTCTTACATAAGTAGAGGTGAGAAAAAAAAGTACAATCACTATCCAGCTTGTCATATGCCAGTCTGTCACATGCTATTCTTGGTTATCAGAAACCACAAACATATCATAATCGCCCTATTTATTACTACACGTCAAGTACTTTCCTGATCCCTTTAGCTCCCACAATGACCTTACGTAATCTAGAGAATCAACACCCCCAGAACCTTTCGATGTGTTGTTCTTTCTAAAAAAAAGTTTCCCATTTTTTCCAGGACACAAAAGGTATTCCCTTAAGAGTAAGCTGGGGTATATGCATTCCTGACACGTGTACAGGAAGCGATTTATACGGACTTCTGAAACTGGGTAAGTTGCAAAATGAAAACGTTTTTTCTGGAAGATAAGCATTGCAATACCGATTGAATGGGAATGGTTTCTGTTATTCTCAATCGAAGGGTGGTAAGTAAAAAAGGGCATTTAGCTGCTCCATCGCATTTTAGTTTTTCATTTTATTTAATATTTATATATTTACCACATCAGTGAATGGAGCATGGAGTGTTTCTGAATTCCGTAAGTCGATCCGTATGTCTGTCGGTCGGTATGACACCTTGGTTTATAGTTTGCATTCAGTTCTTACTCTCTACATTTAGAAGAAGTCCTACAATCAACAAACGCTATTGACATTAACAGCTTTAACAGTATCAAATGTAGATTCGAGTGATCTCCGTTTTCCGTTTCATTGACATTGGTTAGCATTTGAGTTATTGACATTTTAAGATTTGCATATGGTACAGACATTTTCCTTTACCTCTCTTTCGTGTCATTTTACTTGTAGGTTTGGTGAGGAAAAGAAAAGTACGTTCTCGGGTACATCCGACTAAGTCCATGTTAGAATGATGTGGTATCATATTGATGTGTTCACTTAAGATATTCCTTCGTGTTGACACTATGTTGACATACGAGAACGTACCTTTATTTTCCTCGCCAAACCTACAAGAAAGAGAGGTAAAGGAAAATGTCTGTACCATAAGCTAATCTTAAAATGGCAATGTGTCACTGCAATCCACGTTCTGACGACATCTGTACCGTATTTTTTTTTTGTTATTTAGAAATACTTAGAAAGCCACGTTACATATTTTAAGTTGGCCTAACTATCTAAACCTGAACAAATATATATGTGTTTTTTAGATTATATAGTCATTACGGAATTACTATAGGTACTGACAATAAAGTGAATAATATGTTGTCAATCCTTACCTCCTGTCAAAATATTTCCCCTTTGATCAATATAACATGGACCCCATTGGAAATAAGCTTTCGAGCTTTCATGGGCTATCCTCAGGTTTATAGATCCATGTTTGTGTTGTATTAATTGTATAAATATATCGCCTATATCTTAAAATCAGTTATGAATTTTAGTTTCATATATAATATTTTAAGATAATATAATGTTTTATTGACGATGATTTAATTCATGTAGGTTCAATAGTATTTGAGCGTCCGGAGAGATTGTAGGAAGGGGATGCCTAGATTTATATTTTTGTTTTTCGGATTATACAAGCGTTTTTCGGATTATACAAGCATTGCATTTGGTCAATAAAATCAATGAGGTTTTGATAACAGAGTTCTTTTTCACAGATGTTTTCAAAAACGCCACGTCGTTGGTCGAGTCTGTTGATTGTTCCCTGGAATTGGACGTAACACAGGACCTGGCGGCGGTACTCACCATGTAAGTTCAGAGGAAATGTACCTTGATTCGGAATATCGTTTTGTCAAAAGATATCCCAATCACAATGTCGTGGTTATGGGATATCCTATATATACCTTTCAAATATTTGAGTTTAAGGGATATTCCAAATATCCCTGTCCTAACACTTACTAGAAACATTCAACATATTCCCGTCAGAAATACAATCAAGAAACAGGTTGGCATAGGAAAATTAATAAACAAACAATCTGCGTTGAAGCAAAGTATACGAGATAACCATAATAAAACCCTAGTAACAAACCGACATAAAAAGGTAAGATAGTGTCAAGGTATTCCAGATACTTGTTTTACAATACAAACAAAGAGGCTGCCATAAGAACGTTGGTTTTGAAATTTGAGTTATAGAAATAAAAATTCTAACATACAACTACAAATTGAATTTGGAGATAAACCGGATATTTGAGATAATATTCATAATAAGAGAGATAATATGTAAAGACAATTGATATAGTTATGGTATTATCACGAGAAATAACCGTAGCATTCTGACTGGGATAACGATGTTGATGGTGACATACTATCCATAGAAAACTATTTATTGAAAATAATAAAATACGTTCTATTAGATCTTAGCTGTCGGATTGTTTAGGTCCGTGTATTCTCATTAAGATGATCTGAACAAATTGATCATGACAATTAGGCAATACATCAGTATTGCTTGGTCAATACGGAGCCTTGGACATGATATAAATTACAATTCGAATTCATTAATTTATTTATTCTCTCCATTCCGGCAAACGACGACAAAATATTTGCATATAGCTTCATAGCGGGTGTAATTACAATTTGTTTAGTAGATATGAGTACAGTTTGTATACTATATTTAAACGAATGCATATGTTATGCTTGTTTTGAATATTATTTTCATTCAATTAGCTAAAATAGTTATAACATATCTATGATTGCAACAGACAATTTGTTTAGTAGATCTCAACATGATATGTATTGAGCATGAAGGTAATGTGGATAGAGTTTTAATACACACACGATAATAACTTTTCTGGTAGATGTGGATGGAGTTTGTATACAAGCACGATTATACCGTGTATGGTATATGTGAATATATAGTTTTAATACAGGCACGCCAAAAACTTGTGTGGTAGATATGAATACAATTTGAATACATAGTAGATGAGAAGAGAGTTTGAATACTGGCACGCCTTTACCTTTGAATTTGGACTCGCTATTACTTGTAGAGTAGTTATAAATATATCATAACTTGCATGACAGATATGGATAATGTAAATCGTGCATTTTTTTCAGAATACTTCTCAGTATTTTCGCGTTCCTTATGCTTACTGGAACGCTTTACGTTTCGTTGGAGTCACGTGGTGTTTTCGTTGACAATGATAAATCTGCTAATGCAGATAGTGCCTACAGCAATCTGACATTCACAAAAGTCGACGAAAGTAAACCGTATCCGACAATGAACGAGGTTAATGTTGAAAATGGCCACACTGCGAAAGAAGGGGGAAAGGGAAGAAAAGAAATTGGACTTCCTGCAAACTATGTGCCGCACTCAGAATCCGATAAATCTGCCTTAGACAAAACAGTGGATACAACTGATCAACTAAACGGTGCTGCAAATGGCGGTACTGGTACCAAAGCTGTATCACCAACACAAGAAACCAATGCTAAACCATCCCGACAAAAGAAAGAAGGTACCATTACTTCGATAATTACTCGAAAAGATTATAGTTTTTAATAATTGTAATTGTACATAAAAGTAAAATACAATGATAATATAGTATAAGGTATACATTCTGGTACATGTATTTAGTTCTAAGAAGACATTTATATCAGCAATTTTGTACGTTGTATGTGTTGTCTTGTTACTTTGACCCTAAACAAGTTGAATATTACAATGTTTCGAGAAGATATAAATCATCAACGATAACACTGTAGAATGCCATTGTAAAAGCAAACGATGTTCCTTGGTACATCGTAATCTTTCTCAACAGTATTCTGAGTAGTTGGTGTGACCAAGTACATCGTAATCTTTCTAAACAGTATTCTGAGTAGTTGGTGTGACTAAGTACATCGTAATCTTTCTCAACAATATTATGAGTAGTGGGTGTGACTAAGTACATCGTAATCTTTCTAAACAGTATTCGAAGTAGTTGGTGTGACTTGGTAATTCAAGAACATGAAACTTAGATTTGTCTTACAATTACATGACAAGGGTAGTCGATGAGGCTGAAGACGCTTACCATTCCGGAACACCTGACCGTATCATATATTTTAATTGCTGTTTAATTAACACTTAAATGCACCCTTATTACTTTTCTACTTTGTTATTTGTTTCTGTCAAGGTGTACTAGTCCGGATCGTCAAAGCGTTCTCCGTACAGATAAACGCCCCAAAGATACTGACCGGGAGAACTGGACTTAACTCAATCACATGTATCCACGGAATCAGGTTCTTCAGTATCACATGGATAATGCTAGGTCACACTTATAACTACGGTATACTGTCGGAAGCTTCGACGAGCTGGTCAGCAGGTAAGCATAACAAGATAGTACAAATGTATGATAACCCACTTTGTAGTTTCTATTAGTATGGACTGATGTCAAATGACGCCAACAAAACTGAACCATTTACATTTGTTGAAAGTATGCCTGTATTATCAGGCTAAATATTGCTGTAAATCACGTGTTAGAGGTACTAAACCTATCCAAATAGGCTGGCCAATAAAATGATTGAAAGAAATAAAGAATTTGGAGTTAAATATTTCTTAGAGCTGGACAACAGGTATGTTGAAGAAAACGTAAGCTAGCCCCATAGAATCAATAATGGTATGGTTTGGTAAAATGTTAGACAAAATATCAGATAGTTGATCAACTTGTAAATGGGTTAATTGATACTGTACTACATTGAACTCCTCCGCAAATTTGCTAAAATGGAAACCACATCAGTTTTTTCTTTGGTCTAACCAAGGTTCCTGTGCTACCATCAGGTCAGATGTAAACCAGCCATATTGAATGAAACAGTAGAACATTCTCTTTAAACACGATACCCTGCCAAAAGTCGTAGCTGAATATATTGTGGATACTTTTTGACTGAGGAATTTCTTATTGGTTAAGAAACAGTTTTAGCGGAACATGAGAACACTTTTATGGCTATAACATATGCTTCTATCGTGTAGCTATTGTTGAAATGATTCTAGTTCATTTTGTTATTCTTGTACAATCTTATGAATTTGAAGTTAGTCAAGTTTCATCAAACTGCATTTGCATTCAAAGATTTCTGTTTACTTTCTAAAACTAAAATCAAGGAGATCTTAACGAATAATTTCACACTTTCAAAGGTTCACATATACAGTATATAGCGATATATATGCAGTATATATATCAATCCCGCGAATAAGGATATTTGCATTATATGCCAAAATATCATAGCCTAGTTGTGCAAAAGGTGATGAGCTTCATCATTCCTTAAGACAATTTTCAACCTCGAGTAAGTTGGTCGAAAGATAAGGTAAGAAATCGTTACTTGGCAAGTAATTTAACTCGACTAAAATATGTATCTTTCTGGAAATTATAGTTAAATAATGGTTATACTTTAAAGATGCAAACAATAAAATGGGATCGTATAACTGATTAAGCGTAATACCTTGTTCACAACTTGGCCGCATTGCGTCGAAATACCAGATTATCTACTATAATCCCTTAAGCTCGGTCAGAATACGGCTGTACAACATAATCTTCTATTACACCACATACTCCATTAGAATACAAATAATCCGCTATAACACACTATACTCCGTCCAAATATCAGATAATCCGCTATAACACATTATACTCCGTCCAAATATCAGATAATCCGCTATAACACACAATACTCCGTCCAAATATTAGATAATCCGCTATAACACACTATACTCCGTCTAAATATCAGATAATCCGCTATAACACACTATACTCCGTCCAAATATTAGATAATCCGCTATAACACCATATACTCCGTCCAAATATCAGATAATCCGCTATAACACACTATACTACGTCCAAATAACAGATAATCCGCTATAACACCATATACTCCGCACAAATATCGAATAATCCATTTTACTGTCAGACATCCCGCCAAAATACTAAATAATCCACTATTAAACCAGCCATTCCGTCAGAACACCAGATAGTCCATTAGTAAGTCAGATGTTCCATCCGAAAGCCAGATACATTATGTCCTGCCCGTTACCAGTTAATATGCCGAATCTTGTCAAAATACTAAGTATTATGTTTATAACCAGATATTCCATCTAACTGCTAGATAATCCTTTAAAATAGAGTCTACAAAACATATGCCAACTTCTGTTTTCCATGAACCCTTGGTGAAATGACGGATTTCACATATGTGTAGTTATGGCAAATCTTTTGATTTTACCTTAGTTATTATTCCAATTTGGATTATTTATAAGAATGAAAGGTTGTTTTTGAAACTTGACATCACATTTCGAATAGAACGTTTACACCTAAAGTAATTTTTTGGAAATGTTTGACATTTGTTGAAGATGGTCTTTTTTTGTATTTCAGTCAACTTTGTGGATGCATTGAGTATGATACAACGGTTTACGTTTCAAGCAGTCGTTGCAGGAGGTTTCAGCGTCGACACATTCTTCATGATAAGGTTAGTTTGTTTTATGGGGATAAGCTTGTTCGCAACAGCAAAGGTCACATATTTACAGTGTCAGTGAAAACATACGTTCATAGAGCTATGAACGCAACTTCATCAGCGTAAGTTGGAGGCATCTCCTCTCATTTTGAATATCACTTGATAACCGTTAGAAGCAAACATTTGTGTAACGTTAGCTTTTCCAAGAATCCCGTTTGCACTGACGACAAAGACACTTCAATATAGAAAATATGAAAATATAAGTCTGTATTAAGGTCACTTAAGGATTAAAAATGTAAAATGTAAGTATCTCGGGATGAACATAAAAAAAATATGCCTTTACCACCATGAAAATGAGAAATGCCGTTCAATCCTCATATGAAGATGGATGCATAGAGAAATAATTTAGGTTACTTCAATGTTCCTTGACACAGAAGAAAAACCCGGTTCTGCAGGGACCAATATAAGCCGCCTCTTATAATTACATACAGTGGAATACAGTTGGTCTATTCTTACCCAGACCCTGCAGTGATCTGATGAGGTTAGATTGACAATTTTAGTTTCACAAAACAAAACACATGACGTTTTCACGTTATTGTGGTGACTCCGAAGAAATCTTTGGTTTGCCTTTTGTCAAAATAATAAGACCTTGTTGAATATCATGCAACCATTTCGAGGCTATGACATTTTAAATTGGTGCTTTGTTTTTTACAGGCCCCATCACCTTTTAACAATATTTGCATATGACCCTGGCAGTTGAGATGACGCATAACATTGGACAAATGAACAAATGTTTTAACAAACATATCGATAAAACTAAATGAAAAAACGTCACATACGACTTACAGCTACACGTTCATGTCCGGGGATAGCATAATCCTTGTACACTAAAAAGGGACAGGAGTAAGGTATCTTGCAGAATCGACAATTTGTTTTACTGTTTATTTTGTACAGTCAGTTGGTAATACCTTGTTTTCGTAATACCTGCTGTGCTCAATAAATCTCAGCCTCTTCCATGGCTTTTATCCTCTATTTTAATTGGATGGGATCTTTATTCAAGTTACCATTAAAGATAGTATAAAGTTCCAGAATACAAAAATATAAGTAACAAATATACTGTCTTATTCGTTTTATCAACAGTATGGGGTACATGTATATTACACAAATACACACGTTCACATACACATATGTATAAACGTAAATTATAAAAGCCATGTTGGATCTCGGTTCGTGCTCAAGCAGAAGACTGTTGTTACCTACTGTCTTATTTTGTCTCCTATTTCATAAAAGTCTTGCAAAAAAAATATTTATGAAATTTATAGTCATGTCGTCGGAATGTCTATTGTATATCTATTATTTTTGTCATGGGAACGAGGAAACCCCTGTTCTTGATTATTCGATATAATAAACAAATCATTTCTCTTCGATTTACATCATTTTTAAGATAATTTTATGATATGTCAACATGAGTTTTGTTTATACCACCACAACATTTTAATGATATTGCATTAATTTCTATCAAACGTATGACCATGCCAACAGCAAGCTACTTATAATTGTTTTTCTCAAATACAGTGGGATGTTGCTGGCATATCTTCAACTGAAACAAATGGCAAAGATAAAGGCTCATCCGACTGGACCGAAGATCGGCAGCTACGTCATGCATTATTTCTTTCACAGATTTTGGAGGTAATGGAAAAGAGGATATACTAAGGATAAAAAGTTGATTAGTGATACGAAATATCGGTCTATTGCCATGCAGCTTTGATATGTTTTTCCTAATCCATCAATATCACAATATGCAGTTAAAATCTAAATATTGCATCTATAAAATATTATTTTCATATTTAGTGTATTGTTGTGACAAAACCTAAATTTTCCAAATATCTTCCTTTTATTAGCGCTGTTTTGGTCATTCAACGAATCAAGTTTGATTTCTTTTCTATTTAATCACCCCATTATTTTGTGGAGTTCTGGTAATTGTGTGTGTGTGTGTGTTAAAGGTGGGGGATCCCTTCAGAAGTCATATGTAGATAACAGATATAAATATCAAAATATAAAAACATCGAGCTTTTGGAAGTAGACTTTTATAAATGATATTTTTCTATATTGACAGCATCTTGAATTCCAATTTTAACCAAGCATTTATTATTTTGGAAGCCGACAAATCTTAACGTGATTTTACTGTTTTTCCTGCTTGAAGGCTCCATGTTCCGTTTCCATTTTTTGTTTTGCTTTTTACTTATATCTGTGTCAAACTACATTTACCACACAACTCAACATGTACTGAATGGAAATATTATTGTATGGATCAATCTACTGTAAAACTGTAACGGTAATTGCTTTATGATAAGTTTGACAACAATCTGACTTATAATTATTGTTTTTAGGTTGACGCCAATGTACGCCGTGGTTCTCCTTATCTTCGCAACACTACTTCCGTACATAGGGAGCGGTCCACTTTGGCCAAATGTAATACAAACCTCAGAAAACTGCAAGCAATCGTGGTGGACAAACCTGTTATATATCAACAACATCGTCAGAGTGGATAGTCAGGTATTATAACTTAAGTACATCTCACTGTTTATTTAACGATTGAGGACAATCAAGTAAACTATCTACCGTCCATCTTAATAAATGCATGAAGGGCAAGTCAGATAACCACTTAATGCGTAAATCGAACCGATATAAATGCGAAGTACGGAAACGCCTTATTCATTAAGTCAATGATGAAAACCAAATAAGTAAATATGTTACAAACAATACATTTTGGATATCTAGGACTTATCAGAGGTACCAAAAGTCAAAATATTAAAAATCATATTTCAGAGATTTCCAAAATATAAGTAGAAAAAAACAAAATTGGAGCTGTGCTTATCAAAATCTGTATAATGTTACACATTTAAAACATATAACCGTTAAAGTTTATTTATTCGTCAGCTACTATCGTGTAAACCGTTCTAAAATATTTCCTTCAACGAGTTTATCTAAAGTCTATCACATTTATCGAGATGCCTTATTATAGCTACAAACATGTAGCTAATACCTATCTTAGGTCTATCTCACTATGTCCAATCGCAGTGGAAAAGAATGTACATGTAGCCTATGCTTATCTAAAGTCTGTTTTACTCAAACTTTTAGGCTAATACTAATCATATCGATTAGCGAAACAAGTATCCATGGCAGAAGTTCATTACTGAGCGGACTGTCGTAATTAGTATTTACTCGTTCAGCAACTATGTATGGTTTATACGCTTATACAATTTTATTTTACATCCTTATTCTGTTGTTAATATTTAAATGTAATAAATATTCGAGTGTATTCAAGGAATATTTTTTATTCATAATTCAGTCTTCATGCTCAAAACGAACGATTTCCTGATAAAGTCGGACCTTTTAAACTTTCCTGAGATTTTCGTTTGTAAGAAGCGTGTTATCGTTCATATGTAATCAGATTATTTGACTTCACACCTACAGTGTATGGGATGGACTTGGTTCCTGTCTAATGACATGCAGTTCTATGTCGTGTCCATATTCCTCCTCTTCTTTATGACACTGTAAGTATAAAAGGTTTATTATAACATGTATACCTAATATAATGATATAATGAGAACGATCGTGTTATTTGATTGGATGACCACACATAAATAACTGATCGCATTCATACTTAGTCTCCTACTGATGAAACAAGAAGGCAACGGCATTAAAGCGTATCTGACAGAATATTCGTCTTAGCAATTTCTTATCCAAACAATAACTCCTTAACCGCTCATTTTAATGACACAATTACTAGACAAGCTATCACGTTACATACTGTCAAGGTAATTCATTTTGAATCTTTATTTAAGGACATAGTATGTCCTTTTCAATCGAATGTCCTTCCTTTTTAAAGGCGTTTAAACACTTATGCAGGTAATGTCTTTTTTTTAAACACAACTTGTTCAAACAACTCAGCAGATAGAAGTATGAATAGATAGTGTGTCACTGTAGAAGATAGGTCAGTATGTTTATTTTTGTCGCTCTATTTAAAGTATCACGTCAATTACGGCCGACTTATGGTTGAAGAAGGACAACTCGTAAGGTCGTCTCCTTGCAAGCGTAAATTAGTATTATTCTTAGTTTTCATAGTTTTGTGATAAATACCAAGTATAAATCATATCGTGTGGAGGATGCCTTATAACACTAATCAAATCTAATCAAACGAATCACATTTTTGACAATCTAATCACAAAAGATTTAACTATCAAACCTCTGTGTCCTCCTATCATGATCACGGACGTTCCGCTACCAGTGTAGTATGTTTTCGATTCCTCTTTTTAAGGATATTAGTTAACAAAGGTTTGCATGTATTATAAAATGTTTACAGCACAAACAATTTCATCAACTGTTATGATCGAGATTCAATATTAAACTAATTAACGAATTATTTGGGGCTCGCTGTAAATGTGCAATTTACTAACCAATTTGATGTTTGTATAGAGATTAGTATGTCTATTAATCTGTAACATTTCTTAAAATGAGCCCCGCCTATTCAGTACGGTTGGCTTTGCTTTACTTTCAACATCTGCCCCACTTGTTAAATGTCAGCACTACTCCAATTGTCATAATTACTGCGGATCAATTTATTTGCTTTATAAAAATCAATCGTATTGGTAGCTAACACGTACGCGCGCGAGCCAAAAAGCAAAATGAACACAAATCTTTTTTAATTTTTTTTATTTATTTTTTATTAATCACCGGGAGATAAAATATATCCATTACCCATTTAGGAACACACTTTTTATATATAGTTTTCAATTTTTCACACCCTGATGAAAATTTAGATAAACGAAATCTTCTTCGCTACCTACTAGTAGATAAATATGATGGCCAAAAGAACAAAACAATGCTATTATATATGCATTATATTCATACAGGTCTTTGCCTCTAGGACTTGTAATTTCTTCGCTGCTGCTTCTTGTTGGCACTGGTATTGCGACATGGCAAGAATACGTATACAATGGAAATTTTTTCACGTGAGTATTATTCAATTTTATATCTGAATATGATATATTTTGTATTGGTATCTGTAGCATGTTTCAAAACCATAGTTCAGTCGGAGGGAGTACTATATTTCGTCTCTTTATCAAATATATGACCTATTTGATGATGTGAAACGGATACCATCTGTGGAATAGGGAAGTTGGCTCATTCAATAGTGACTGATTTCGCTCCGGTGTTTTGTCAATGAGTTAATTTTCTTTTGTTTAGATCTTAGCTCGATTTACATTGTTTATATTAGCAAAACGCAATAGTCGATTTTTGGTATATCCTTTAATAATTGGCTTCATAAAAGTCTTAATCGTACATAACTCATGTCAGTCAAAAAAGATTTTTTTTCGACGTTGAATGGCGATTTACATTGCCGTCGAAGTCATTTAAATGTTTTGTTTGTTAATTGGTATGTCACATAATACGTCCCTTGTATTTATTTGAGTTTTTGAAAAATACCAATTCTTTTTCAAATATCATTGCTGTAGAATGAAATCCGACGGTGGTAATTACTGGAATAAAGTCTACATCACACCCTGGTGCCGTGTTGGTGCTTACTGTGTGGGTTTGTTCCTCGGAGTCATCTTTTACAAACGACCAAGGAAGACATTTAGCAAGGTAACAGCATTGTTTACGTGTTGTATGAACATGTTTCATAGTTTTGTGATAAATACCAAGTATAAATCATATCGTGTGGTGGATGTCTTATAACACTAATCAAATATAATCGAACGAATCACATTTTTGATAAACTAATCACAAATTGTAGCAAATAAACATCTTGTTTTTCCGTCGGGTTACTGAATATTCTAATATCGTATTATGAAATACTTCTGTAGTTTTTGATTAATTAATGTTTCTGGCGTTATTAACAGGTGATCGGTTTTGTTGGATGGACCATCGCCACTGCCGTCGCCCTGACACTGGTGTACTCCACATACTCTACCAACAAGGAGGGAGGCGTGGTATGGACAAATGTACAGAACGCCTTCTATGAGGGTTTCGGCCGACCAGTGTGGTCGCTCTGTGTTGCCTGGGTGATCTTCGCCTGCCATAACGACATGGGTGGTAAATACAAATCTAGCGTCTTACTTTATTTCCTAGAGTTAAGATGGGAATGAATTATATCTCCTATCTCGTCCCTTGAAATCACATGATTTATGTTTAATTTAAATCTTATATGAAGCGTTTCTGTTACTAACATTTAATATTGCAAAAACGAAAAACAACATGTAATAAAGATATCATTTTCCCTGTGCTTAAAAGACAGTTGCATATTTTAGTAGTCGTTTGATAGAATTTTGTCCTAAACACGATTTATAATATAAGTATCAGTTCCTTGCAGTAACCACTCTGCAACTATAATGCAATGACGAAAGAACTAAGAACATCACTTTTACAGTTATAGAACTGGGAACTTTACAAACGTTTTTGACCATTCAACATGTACATTCGAATGATATTACTTGTGACCTAAAAGTTCCTTGGCTATGACAGTGCATCCGACAAAATGATACATTCCAAATGACTTAAAAGTATATGAAGTGTGCAATAACCTTCAACGGTGATATTGACAAAGCATTACATATATTCTATGACAAATTATTCAACTTTGTCTCGGCAGGTCATTTGATAAATCATTTAAATTATAACTTCCAATGGACTAAACACAGGTAACCTGATATAAGTTCAGAAAATGTTTAAATTTGACTTGAAACAGGTTACGTGAACTCGATCCTGTCATGGAAAGCCCTGGTACCACTGTCCCGTCTGTCGTATGCCGCCTATTTGATTCATCCCATGATGATGATTATACATGTGTACTCCAAACGCTCCCTTGTCTATCTTACGGATTACGATATGGTAAGTTTTATTATTAGTTAAAACAAACCAGTATATAACATTTACACGCATATTTGTTTGTGTTTTTCAGTTGGATTAATTGATTGTCGAGAGTAGGTTATAGCTTCCTGTTTGCTGTATACAAAAATACAAAAATAAAATATGTTAACTTCTACATGTATACATTTGAGAAATTCGAGCTCCAATAAACGAAGTTCGCTGGATTTTTATTTTCATCAAAATGTATCGTATATAAAATAATAATCAAAAGAGAACTCAGGTGTCGCATTAATTTGTCGTTAGATTTCAACACTATGCCAATTATGTTTAAAACAAAACGAGTATTGCTTATATTACCATATGTATATTGGTACGGGGTAATATAAAATAAGGATGTTTAAGGTGTGAATTTTGGTAAAGCATTTATATAATATGGCGACACAAGATGCAGTTCTTGGAATTAATCGTTATGTTTCGTTATACATTTTCTTTCGTCAATCAAAAATATTTTACTTTTCAATGAAATGCTACTACAACCTTAACATACAATAATTTAAGAATTAAAAAAAAAATGTTTTAGAATCGTGCATCTCAACATTATTTTTCTTACAAAATACATCATTTGTTTTCAGATCTATCTGTTCGTTGGTCACGCCACAGTATCCTACATGGGAGCGTTTATATTGTCTGCTGCCTGCGAAGCCCCATTTATGGCGCTGGAGAAAATACTTTTCTGAACGATTTAACACTATATCCTTCTGATAAGTTATCAACACTTGTCACATCCCTTACCATCACGTCCCTCGTTCTAGCTGTAGGGACGAAGTTTGTGATCCCCTGACGTCAAAGCATACGTCATTGTACAATGACAAGTATATAACGTTTTGATTTAGATGATTTACATTTTTTATAATAATCTGCATTCTATCTTTTTTCATCTTGTATGCAATACGTCACATCTAATTATGCTGAAGAATGAGTGATTATGTCATGTTATTTGCGGATTTCCACAAGGAAAACAACATCGTATGAATCGCCATCTGGATATCCCTTCCTAACATACACCAAGGGATTGTCAACGAGTGAAAGGTGACCTTACATATAACCATAGGTGGATATGAAACTTAACAAAATTTAAAATTGAAGCGTTTTCTCATTGTTATATCCACACATTCATATCTGAATTCAAATAATTCGTATTATTGAAAATATTTCACACAAAAAATTATAACAGCGTTGTATATTTAATAGTGTCATAGTGAGTTGTTAAGCTTATTGCAGTATAGACATATCAACTATGTCAACGTTTTGAAATAAAATTTCACCCTAAGCACCTACAACAAAACGATCTTAAATACATTTGGCAGAATTATAGTTATTCGGAATTTAATGTTTGAAAAATGGAAAACACCAACGAAGGGGTCGAACACGGGACCTTTTCATTGTAAAGCCTACTTTGACAAAAGTTGCCATCCAGGATCAAAGTCTGCTTAAAACAATGAACATTGAAAAATACATAACATGATATTGGGATTAATTCTAAGACACAAAAACACTTCCATCGGTTGTGTCATTTCATATAGAAAGGCGATTGCCCCGACGACAAATGCTGAGTGGAACTGATATATGATGCCGTACGCTTTACCTTAAACGATATGCTTACTTTAAATCATGCTGATGTCTTTCATTATATAATTTTACACTTTGTTAAATTATTATTCCATTATACAGTATTATATGGTTTGTTATGCTTGTTTTTGTAAGGTGCCCTAATCACAACGATAATCCAGTACATATACTGTTTAGTGGCTTTACGACGAGAATTTAAAAAAGAGTGCTTCTTTCGGCAACAGAGTTTTTTGACTGTGAAAGTGACCAAGTACCTTAATAATTTTCACTAAGTATCAATTATTTAAATACCAACAGTAAACTATATTTTTGTAAGCGGTTTAACTGGTAATTACTGGCAGACACAGAGCAATATATAATTGAAATATAATGTTCATTAATAATGCTATGCTTTTATAATATATCTACTGCGAGGATGTTCCAGCAAATTTTCGTTGTTTTCAATGTCTTTCATATTTTAGCTATTGAATCATTGTACCATTCTCACTATGTGAATATTTTTGTCTCTTTCACTTTTTCTGATATGCAAATTACTTGTACACAAAAGCAAACGCATAACACTACATTTAAGCAATGCATGTTTTAGCAAATGTTGTTATGGTCCTATAACACACATTGATATTGATCACAAACATAATAAAGCCCGGCGACAAACTTGATAAAGCCCGACAGTGCTTTATTTAAGTTTGACAGCAATAGAAATGTGTTTTATAGGACCATAATAGTATTAACTAAAATATTCATTATTCATATTAACATTTTGATAGAGTACTTACGCTTTATTTGGTTATTTCGAACAGTTCATTGAAAAGCAATCTTTCCACAAGACATCGGTCCGGATATATTAGCTGTGAATAGATGTTTGATAACAAAATCTTGCAGCACTTTTCGCGTCACCTCCTGCGGCAGGGGTGGAGCCGAGTCTTGATAACAATGAAATTGATGATGTCACACTAGAGATAGATGACGTTACAATAGCAAATGCTGTTATAGTCACATAACAACATTTGCCTTCTTAATGCATTGCAAAGGAAGGATGCAAGAAAATGTAAATATATATTTATGAACAATGGAATACCAAGTACATATGTTGATTTTACACATATATGCATAGCATATTATGTCTTTGAATATTTTGTTAACTCTCAATATTTCTTATATATACATAAATCACGCACACAAAACCTATATATGACGCATCCAGAGACATTAGCAGCCTTATCTATCACAGATAACGAAACTTCATTCCCAAGCTACAAGTACAATACATTTCTGTCTTATGACCACATTATAGAGAGAATTAGGGAGTGTAGGAGGTTATATAAATATTTATCGAAACATCGCTTACATTTGTAAACACAAACATAAAAAATACGTTCCTTTTTTTGCACATCAGTAAATATTTCCTATGTAAACCAATCATATATTCATCTGGAGTTTTTTTTATTTTATGTTTTAATGATAATTTTAATATTGCAATGTTTTCGAAACATTTGAACAAAAAGACATTCTGCAAAAACTGAACAATGCGGTTTTTATTTAGTTTTAGTTGAAATAAATTTGTTACATTCCGTATTATAGACATTGAATGTTCTTTTCATTCAGTAGATTTCTGTAACATACCAAATTATAGAAATAATTATATTTGTATTGTTGAAATCTGTTTTTATTTTCTTGTTTCAAATTTTTTAGTCTTGTTTCTCAGTTTCCGATCAGAAATAAAATACTGATCAATTTTCAAGGTGTTTGTTTTATCTGATTTTGGGACAAGCAACTTTAATACATGTGTTATTAAACAACATTTTTATCGATTATTGGAAAGCCATTGCAGTAAAAATAATTATTGTGCAAACCCAAATGACCTTTTTTCTAAATATTTGTTTTATCAGTGCATCTAATACAAATTGTAAAATACTTTGTATATTCCAAGTTTGCAGTTATAAAATTTCGAAGTAGTCTGCGGAACTAATGTTCGAGACTTGTGTTTTTCGCATCAGTTGAAGAGGACATTTATATCTTCCCTCTTGTACATATGATTTTGTTAATTGTTGATGCTTACAACTGCTACATATTATTTAATGATGCATGCATTCCATATATTAATCACCAACGTATGCTTTCACTGCGTATGTTATTGGATACTGTATTGACTTCTGCCAAAAACTCCAAGACTTCCGCGAGGTACTTAGTTTACAACATGGTAAACATTCAGTAAAAAACCCTTGTAACAAATCAGAATTCCTATTACCGTTAAAACCCTTTCTGCAATGTTAATAAACTACTTTTTAAACATGTGACATATGCATGCACACAATTCTTACGGTCACAAGGACGGGTGTATTTCCTGACTAGACAGATGGTTTATTACATAGGTTTAAAATACGAAAGAAAACGGTTAAAATGGTATATATGAACAGATGGTAGCTACAAATTACGGAGTATACGTATGTCGAAAACATGTCTGCCGTTGAAATCAAAATCACAAAAAAAAGAATATTGTTTAGTATTTGTTCAGCAAATTAATTCAATCTTACATTATGTTTTAACGATATAGTTTCTTTTTAATACAGAAATGTTCACTGTAATGAACATAGCGTGCAGTGTTTTTCAATTATCAATAGAAAAATTATTGTTTTGGTCAGATTCAGTAATGTAAATTAAAAAAAGGAAATAACAGAAAGCGTCACAATCAAAGACAAAAACAGCAGTCAATGCGAAATCCAACAACTGAAGTATAAAAGAGGCTAAAATCAAAGGAAAACTTATTGTTCTTTTCAAACATAGGTAGGCGAAGCTAGAACCTCTCAATGGGTAGATTTTCCTGTATCACACATGACCCTCCATATGTTTCTTTAATTTTTTGTTCATGTTTATATTACAGAAATGAACTTAACATCTGAAATTATCCTGTAAAGAGACACACATTGCTTTAATATTCCGCTTGGAATACATACATGTAGCTTGTGAACTTTTAACAAAAAACACAAAAAACAAAAAACAAAAATCTATTTCTAGCTTACATAACTTACCATCCATAACCTAACCATTTAGAAATTTTGAATACTGAATACCGGGAAACTTTCACCCGTCAAATATTCGTCGTTTGCTGATAAAATCCATGTTCACCCAGTGTACACGACGTCCTTAATGCAATTACTGTATATTGTATGTAGTTATCTAACATTCGATGTCATGATAAATCCATCCATGTTCACCCACTGTACACGACGTCCTTAATGCAATTACTGTATATTGTATGTAGTTATCTAACATTCGATGTCATGATAAATCCATCCCTGTTCACCCAGTGTACACGACGTCCTTAACATGTAATTACTATATATTGTATGTAGTTATCTAACATTCGATGTCATGATAAATCCATCCATGTTCACCCAGTGTACACGACGTCCTTAACATGTAATTACTGTATATTGTATGTAGTTATCTAACATTCGATGTCATGATAAATCCATCCCTGTTCACCCAGTGTACACGACGTCCTTAACATGTAATTACTATATATTGTATGTAGTTATCTAACATTCGATGTCATGATAAATCCATCCATGTTCACCCAGTGTACACGACGTCCTTAACATGTAATTACTGTATATTGTATGTAGTTATCTAACATTCGATGTCATGATAAATCCATCCCTGTTCACCCAGTGTACACGACGTCCTTAACATGTAATTACTATATATTGTATGTAGTTATCTAACATTCGATGTCATGATAAATCCATCCATGTTCACCCAGTGTACACGACGTCCTTAACATGTAATTACTGTATATTGTATGTAGTTATCTAACATTCGATGTCATGATAAATCCATCCCTGTTCACCCAGTGTACACGACGTCCTTAACATGTAATTACTATATATTGTATGTAGTTATCTAACATTCGATGTCATGATAAATCCATCCATGTTCACCCAGTGTACACGACGTCCTTAACATGTAATTACTGTATATTGTATGTAGTTATCTAACATTCGATGTCATGATAAATCCATCCCTGTTCACCCAGTGTACACGACGTCCTTAACATGTAATTACTATATATTGTATGTAGTTATCTAACATTCGATGTCATGATAAATCCATCCCTGTTCACCCAGTGTACACGACGTCCTTAACATGTAATTACTGTATATTGTATGTAGTTATCTAACATTCGATGTCATGATAAATCCATCCCTGTTCACCCAGTGTACACGACGTCCTTAACATGTAATTACTGTATATTGTATGTAGTTATCTAACATTCGATGTCATGATAAATCCATCCCTGTTCACCCAGTGTACACGACGTCCTTAACATGTAATTACTGTATATTGTATGTAGTTATCTAACATTCGATGTCATGATAAATCCATCCCTGTTCACCCAGTGTACACGACGTCCTTAACATGTAATTACTGTATATTGTATGTAGTTATCTAACATTCGATGTCATGATAAATCCATCCCTGTTCACCCAGTGTACACGACGTCCTTAACATGTAATTACTGTATATTGTATGTAGTTATCTAACATTCGATGTCATGATAAATCCATCCCTGTTCACCCAGTGTACACGACGTCCTTAACATGTAATTACTGTATATTGTATGTAGTTATCTAACATTCGATGTCATGATAAATCCATCCCTGTTCACCCAGTGTACACGACGTCCTTAACATGTAATTACTGTATATTGTATGTAGTTATCTAACATTCGATGTCATGATAAATCCATCCCTGTTCACCCAGTGTACACGACGTCCTTAACATGTAATTACTGTATATTGTATGTAGTTATCTAACATTCGATGTCATGATAAATCCATCCCTGTTCACCCAGTGTACACGACGTCCTTAACATGTAATTACTGTATATTGTATGTAGTTATCTAACATTCGATGTCATGATAAATCCATCCCTGTTCACCCAGTGTACACGACGTCCTTAACATGTAATTACTGTATATTGTATGTAGTTATCTAACATTCGATGTCATGATAAATCCATCCCTGTTCACCCAGTGTACACGACGTCCTTAACATGTAATTACTGTATATTGTATGTAGTTATCTAACATTCGATGTCATGATAAATCCATCCCTGTTCACCCAGTGTACACGACGTCCTTAACATGTAATTACTGTATATTGTATGTAGTTATCTAACATTCGATGTCATGATAAATCCATCCCTGTTCACCCAGTGTACACGACGTCCTTAACATGTAATTACTGTATATTGTATGTAGTTATCTAACATTCGATGTCATGATAAATCCATCCCTGTTCACCCAGTGTACACGACGTACTTAACATGTAATTACTATATATTGTATGTAGTTATCTAACATTCGATGTCATGATAAATCCATCCATGTTGGAATTGTCGAAAAAGGCAAAAGTGAATTTCCCGGAATATAGTATATTTTTTTTAAAAGATCTAATTATTAATTATATTTAGTTAATATTACTATACATGTACGATATACATATGTATGACAACAGTAAAACCTCATCATACTGTACACTGACATAAAACAAGTTTTATTGATACCAGAAATATAACTGAGTTTTAAGTACAGCATCGAACATGTTACCTCATATACAGTGATATCGTCGAGCATCAAATATATTTGTTTTGTTTTTTGTGTACATCCCATTCACACATTATTCGTGTGGCTCAGATATCGTTTCACAAATAATATTCAAAGATGAATATTCCAATGCCTACTTAAATTAGACTCAATGAAACTACCAAATGTAACCTGTTTCATTTGCTGATGAATTGACCAGATTAGCATTGCCTGTGCATATAATTTTGCAACGGGAGATGACTATTGATATGTTTAAACAAAGAAGATACCACTTGATGAAATTTTGCATTTTTATTGAAGCTACACAAGAAATTGTTCAAACAACTAAAAACGATCAATCAGCAAAATATTATCAGCTCCAGGCTGCTACCGGTAGAGACAAGTCATGTACTGCCCAAGCAATTATCCATCCATCTACCCATTCTATCTCTTGTGTCAGTATCAACCCCCGGTACAAATCGAAACTAACGTAGATCCATGTGGTCCCGTCTTATAAGAAATGCAGTCGAACAGTCAACTTCCATATCAAATTGTTTCATCCTTTCAAGCCACGTCTGGTTTCCTGTCTAATTCGACATTTAATTACATGTGCTGAAGCTTCCCATTCCAGAAGACGTAGAATGTCGAAATGTAGCTGCTCTCCACTTCGAGCAAGTGAAAAGATGGCTGCCGTAGACTCGCAGCCGAGCCTGCGCACCGCTTCTAGACATTATTCTTCCGCAACGACGCGTCAGATATCATACAATATATCAATTCATCAACAAAAATTAAAAATATGATATTTGAAATATGGTTTCGTGTTTTGTTTCTACATAATTTGGCTATATTGAACTATCAACGTACACCAACCTGTAGCATGATGGTCCTTCAATGACGGACTATATTTTGTATATTACGTCAATACAGAGACTTGCACAAGCTCTAGAACTCTGGACAAACTATCAGAATGGACTTAAAAAGTTCCAATTATCGAAAAATACACCCGTTGATTTTAATATAAGATTGAATCGTGCTTTGGTAGATTTCATTGTGTGATGAATTGAGTTGGTCTTGTATCAAATTAAACATCAGCTGCTTCAAGACCAACTCAATTCATCACCCCGTGAAATCGACCAAAGCAAGATTCAATGCTTAAAACAAGCAACTTTGTAAGAAAATCATTAACAACAAAACCGTTTTTGTTACTGACAAAAAAGTGAAACAAAACATTCTCATGAGAGAGAAATTGATTCCAGTATATCATGCACCGATTCCTTAAGCCGGAAACTTCCTGTGAGGAACTCTTCAACGATCGATTCTTTTGAACTCGTATTGGCGGTTTTGCCTTCACCGTCTAACACTTTTTCAGCTCTCCGAAATTGATCTTTGAACGGAAGTTGTTCCTCTATGTATTTTGTTTTGAGATGGCCCCAGTCGTCCACCATTTTGTAGTATCCCAGCTTAAGCCTCGTTTTGATGCCATCTTCCCATTGGTCCTGACCAGCCTCGTAACTTACTGCTAAGTTTGTCACAAGTTTAAGCCATTCGATTGAGGGGTCGTCAGCAAGGATATCTGTCGGAAATTAAATAGCAAGGTAATAAGAAAAATGCTTCAATCATTTCTTTATCAGGATTGTATATTTTACATTCATTTTATTTTCAGAATATTTGCCCACCTATTTGGTATAAGTTACTCCTAATATCATTAAAACTGCAGCATAAACGGAAATGTTTCCCTTCAATATTGTCATTGTTTAATGATAATCCCATTATGTCGGTATTGTCAAACATGGAGATCGGGGAAAATAACACACCGTTACCGGTACCACAATAAAAAACTGTTGAGTTTTCACCCTACCAAAAATTGCCATACAGTTTATATATATATTACAAAGCAACGCACCTTTTCTGTAAGTGAGCTCCTCTTAACCGCAAGTTAAACCAATAACGTCTCAATCTTTTAATGACATACAGATATAGTCGCATATCTTAATAATAAATAAAAACGAAATGGTAGAATACAACAAAACCTATTTTAGTGACGTCCTCTCCGTTAATCTTGGCTAGCAGCATAAGGCTATTTCATAAATATGCTAAGTTGTTTAACATGTTATCGTGCAATAAGAAAAAGTAATACCTTGGATGTCAATATACCATACCTGGCTCTACAGCAACCTCTGACGTCACATCATTCCAGAAAATGTCGTATCTCTTCACCAAGGTGGCGCTATCGTGAAAAAATTTATAAGAAATAGACTTTTTTGCATATTTTATCATTCACAGATAAACACAACTAGAAACAGAGAAGTCTGCACAAAAGTTGTAAGGTAACGAAATAATTTAAATGATACATATTTTGTCGTTACCGGTAAGACAAATAGCTGTTTTGTATTGATTACAACAACAGCAAAATTATATACAAATACATGTTTATTCATTCTGAAATTACCGAAAATATATTGAAAGCGATTTTTAAATAGGACTACTTCCCGCACTCGCTTGCTAACATATTCATACGCAAACAGGACCTTTTTATCGAAAAACACATATTCTTTGGTGTGCATATATTATTGAGTCCAAGTTCAGTAAAAAAAAAGTAGTAAAAAATGATATCTTTAACATATGTAACTCTAGAGTTGTTGATAACCTGCATACTACACCAGCGTGAAGTTGGATATTTACTTCAAACATGTCCAATATTAGGCTAGTTTGATATTCAAATGTCACAAAGACAATAGGTTTTATGATTTAAGACTGAAATTTGAGAAAGTGACCGGTGGGCATATTAAGCCTTGGGTATCGTTGATGCCCTTTATGTGTGGATACCTTAGATGATGCCATGTTGTGGTATAGGTGTTAAAAAAGCGACCTCCATCACAGCATTGGACCAGTCTAATAATGAGCTAGTCCCGTATGGAATAAGTAAACAACTCCAGTCTGATGGAAACTACTAGTAACTCTGATGATACACCTCATGTTCCGGTCTACCTACTTTGGCTAGCGAAGATGAATACATAATGTAAGTCAATGATGGAAGATACAGATAAGTAGATTGCGTCAACAGATGATGGTGCCTATTAATGACACTTAAAAGTGTCATATCACTGAAACGTCAAACACCTGGACATGGAAGCATGACACTCACACGGGTCGCCTTATTCTGACAACGAGTTAAGGAAGGGTGCATAAGGAGATGCCACAGACAAAAATACATTGTAAAGATAGAAAAGAAAGGAAACAATATCAAGTCACACGTTTTGCAATGGCTACAGCAGATAAAATTCTTTAACCAAAAGCAACATTAAGAAAAAATCTGCAAAACAAATACAAAAACTCAACACATAGCAAATTTTCATTTAGTATCATTTTACAATAATCTGACACTTGTGATAATCCCTAAGGGTTTATGGTCTTACTGTATCGAGATTTTTCGATGAACTCCACCGACCGGGATCTTCCCTCGTATTACTACCAGCTCCTTCTCGTCGTTATTGGTATGTGTCGCCGTGTCACTGTTAGACCGACAGCTAAGAAGTTGTACGTCATCATTTGACTCAAACTTTCCAATTGGTTTCCGGCTATCCTTGAAATATAATTCCGTCATTTCCGGTATCATCTGAACTACAAAGCCCTTGATGGCACTTCCATTTGTTGACGTCATATTGACTGAAATGTTGACATATGAAGAATGAATAAAAACAAAAGTTGAAAACAATGACAAATATCAGCATAAATACATTACGAATCGTCCACTTGCGATGTTTTTTCATGTCTCACTGTGATATCTGGCTCTCCATATGTCACTGTGATATCTGGTTTTCCATATGTCATTGTGATATCTGGTTGTCCATATGTCACTGTGATATTTGGCTGTCCATATGTCACGGTGATATCTGGCTGTCCACATGTCACTGTGATATCTGGCTGTCCATATGTCACTGTGATATCTGACTGTCCATATATCACTGTGATATCTGGTTGTCCATATGTCACTGTGATATCTGGCTGTCCATATGTCACTGTGATATCTGGCTCTCCATATGTCACTGTGATATTTGGCTGTCCCTATGTCACTGTGATATCTGGCTGTCCATAGGTCACTGTGATATCTGGCTGTCCATCTGGCACTGTGATATCTGACTGTCCATATATCACTGTGAGATCTGGTTGTCCATATGTCACTGTGATATTTGGCTGTCCCTATGTCACTGTGATATCTGGCTCTCCATATGTCACTGTGATATTTGGCTGTCCATATGTCACGGGGATATCTGGCTGTCCACATGTCACTGGGATATCTGGCTGTCCATATGACACAGGGATATCTGGCTGTCCATATGTCACTTTGATATCTGACTCTCCATATGTCACTGTGATATCTGACTCTCAATATGTCACTGTGATATCTGGCGGTCCATATGTCACTGTGATATCTGACTCTCAATATCTCACTGTGATATCTGGCTGTCCATATTTCACTGTAATATTTTGCTGTCCATATTTCACTGTGATATCTGGTTTTCCATATGTCACTGTGATATCTGGCGTCTATATGTCACTGTGATATCTGACTGTCCATATGTCACTGTGATATCTGTCTGTCCATATGTCACTGTGATATCTGACTCTCAATATCTCACTGTGATATCTGGCTGTCCATATGTCTCTGTGATATTTGGCTGTCCATATGTCACGGGGATATCTGGCTGTCCACATGTCACTGTGATATCTGGCTCTCCATATGTCACTGTGATATTTGGCTGTCCCTATGTCACTGTGATATCTGGCTGTCCACATGTCACTGTGATATCTGGCTGTCCACATGTCACTGGGATATCTGGCTGTCCATATGTCACTGTAATATCTGGCTGTCCATATGTCACTGTAATATCTGGCTGTCCATATGTCACTGTAATATCTGGCTGTCCATATGTCACTGCGATATCTGACTGTCCATATGTCACTGTGATATCTGACTCTCAATATGTCACTGTGATATCTGGCTGTCCATATATCACTGTGATATCTGGCTCCTCATATGTCACTGTGATATCTGGCGCTCCATATGTCACTGTGATATATGGCTGTCCATATGTCACTGTGATATCTGACTGTCCATATGTCACTGTGATATCTGGCGTCCACATGTCACTGTGATATCTGGCGCTCCATCTGTCACTGTGATATCTGGCTGTCCATATGTCACTGTGATATCTGGCTCTACATATGTCACTGTGATATCTGGCGTCCATATGTCACTGTGATATCTGGCGTCCATATGTCACTGTGATATCTGGCGTCTATATGTCACTGTGATATCTGACTGTCCATATGTCACTGTGATATCTGGCTGTCCATATCACGAAGAAGAGTTTTGAATCAATTACTCGTGTGTTTTTTTTTTATTTTGTTGTTCCAAAGACCAAAGTAATAATTACAGAGACAGACTTATTATTGTAGAAACTGATAATTATGAATTGTTAGAATATAGATATACGTGTTGTCATTTCTAAATGTCATTCATATCGACTATGAATGCCAACTGTAAGCAGCCAAATGCTTAAATGAGAGCAAATAAATGTTCCTTGTACAAAAGTGTAGATATTTAAGCAATAAACTGCATAGATGTGGCAGACCAACTGGTATAACTGCCACATGTGTCACAGACAAACTGAATGGTGCGCGCTAGCGCACCATAATAAGTTTGTCTATGACATATTTGGCAGTTATACCAGTTGGTCTGCCACATCTATGCAGTTTATTGGTTATATCTATATTTCCATAATGAGAATTCGCAATTTTTTTTATGTCTTTTCCAAATTTCAAATTACCCACTTATTACCGTCAGGTCAGGTCAGTATCTATAACGGCACAAAGATAACAGCTGACGTCATGCGCTATTTCCCATACAAAATTGAAAAGACTCCGCAACTTTCGTTAATAATTCATTTGATTTTGATTTATATATATATCATATTCTCGATTCATAAATAGTAACAAATGACATTTTGTAAGTAACTAATCAAGTGTCGTAAAACATTTTCTGATTTTATTGCGACCTATATCCGGCGCACGCACTCAACGGAAGCCCGCAGTAATCAGGTCAGAGTTATATTTGCGGTTCGGCATGTTGTCGATGTTGATCGTGCAACCGGAGAAAGTTGAATTGGTGAAAAATCCAGGCGTAAAATTGATTGTTGATCTCACAGACACTTGAGACAGGCAGCTGGTGTTAGGGATCAAAGCAGAAGATACCGATAAGTTCGGTAGTGACACTGTTAATTCGCTCGGAGGTGCAAAGACCAACTTCAGTTATAGTCTCATAAGATGAAGCTGCTATTGGCAGTACCATAGTAGTAATATAGAAGGGCTTTGCCACACCAAATGTAAATATATAGATATACAGACCCGTGCACGTTCGCTGTTCCATCTTAGACGCAAACGGTACGGAAGTGCTACGCAACGGTACGGAAGTGCTACGCAACGGTACGGAAGTGCTACGCAAATGGTACGGAAATGGTACGCAAGTGCTACGCAAACGGTACGAAAATGGTACGCATGTGCTACGCAAATGGTACGGGAGTGTTACGCAAACGGTACGGAAGTGCTACGGATGACGCTTACAAACGGTGATTCGGTTGTGGCGACAGGAACGGGTTTACATAAAAAGCGGAAGCATATTATATATCTACAACGAAACGAACATACCCACAATGCATAAGAAAAAACGTCAGTACACTGTAGGCTACCAGGATCGAGGCACATAAGAATGATTTAAATTTTGCCATTTCGTTTGCATAATGGATGAGTGTGAAACAAACAGAAATGTCTCGTGATTTATAAAGATAAAGGTCGATCAAATATTGGTACATCACAAAGACCTGACGTACGCTAACAGATCAACGCGACACACAGATAAGGTACATTTGTATGGTGAGAAGTATTTCCAACTGCTTACCGAATAAAAGACTAATATTGACAGTAAGTAAACTTGTTACGGTTTTTTTAACGAGAAACGTAATAATTAATAAGCCTAACAATAATAATAAAAAAAAAATGATATAATTTCAAACTCCTGTGTTAAGGATCCAGTACCTCTATTTCTACTTTTTATATCGTCTGTAATACTTCCATACACTTTTAGATTTTTCGTGGGATTTGGAGACCGATACTGTGCTTAATTATTAGTACATGCAAATACATGCATCGGAGATTTGAAATGTATACATGTTATACCATGTCTATTAATCAAATTTCATTCACACATAAACAGTTTTTTTTTTTTTTTAACATCTTTTATTTTATTACGAAAATGTAGTTGATTCTTGTTTAAATATACATTGTACGTGTAAATTGTTACGGGAGTTATTATATATATATATATTCAGTTTGAAAGGCAAGCTCGTGCATGTAGTAAACTATAATGAATAAGAAAAATAATATTTACTAAATATATGTAACTTTTACCTTCATGAGATGTATCTTTATCGATCATAAAAATGTAGGTATCTATACTGACTTTTCTACAGGTAAATCTTACCCGTCTGAATCCTGGTACTGGAGAAACTATGACTGTCTTGCACACCCTGAGGGGGTGTACTACAGAGGGTATAGAGGTCTGATGTCAGATAACATAGGGACTGATGAGACCAAGTCAAACTTCAATATATCGACAATATGTATTTCTTCGTTTGTACATGTACGTTTGTACCTAAGCAGGCGTGGATCAAGGAGGGTGTGGGCTTAGGGCGATAGCTTCCTGATCAGGGTCCAGGGGCAATTAGTCATGGTAGAGTAGAGCAAAGCAAAAGGGAGTGGGTAGGGGGGAGGGGGTGTATTTAATCACATTTATCACTCATTTATAACATTTTTCCCTTGTGGGGGGGGGGGGGGGGTATACATCCATATCTATGTGAGGATGTTCACAATTTCTTGTCTCTAGTTCCACATGAAAACGTTATGGCGTTGAGGGAAGATGATGACCTTTTCCTGAAATTTCAAGTTAACGAGTCTCCATAATTAAGTAATTTTTCGTGAAACTGGTGATTGGGAATGGTACCGCACACAAAATGTTTGCTTTAAAGTATACGTCTCTGACCGTTGTCAGACTTTTTATAGACAACACCACAATAGATGAGTGGCAAAACTACGTAACATTTTGGTTGTCTGTGCTCATTACATGTAAGTGTAAGTGCTACAATATTTCATATTTTGTCAAACATGTACGTAGCCTCATCGCCTGGTTCAAGTTCAAGTTCTTTATTACTCTGAGTCGTTCGACTCACCAGTTACAAAATAACAAAATTTGTGATATTAACTGTGCAAAATACAAAATAACATTACACACACTCACAACACAATTACAAGTGCAACTATACCTATTTATAATAATTAGGTTCCTCTCGAATTTGCAAATTTTATATATTTCCCTAAGTTCGTTATTTCTTTTGTATTTTTCACACTCAATAATCCTTTCAATTTAAATATGCTTGGCTTTTTAATATAATAAGTTTTCAAAACAATTGCTCGCAAATCAGAATGACATGATCTTCAACATCATCTAAATTACAAACATTACACACTCGACGATTCAATGTTTTGATATCGCCCTTTTTCTAATTTTAAGTTATGAGGCGTTTGTTTTTTTATTACTTTCAGATATTCTT